TAAAAATAAGAAAGATAGGAAATTTCTTATTCCAAAAACGGGCCTTCCGTTTGATGCCTATGGTTTATACAAAAATACATCAACCTGCGTCCTCGTAACTTTGACAATCCAAAATTTTCATTGGTTACAAGAAAGGCAAGTGTGTTAAGCAAATCGTCGGTATACATACCATCGGGAGCGTACCGCAGAAAATTGCAAAATTTTTGAACTTGGAGAATCCAGAACGTTATACAGGGCATTCATTTCGTAGATCATCAGCAACCATGCTCGCCGAAAATGGTGGTGATTTACTATCGCTAAAGGAGCTAGGAGGATGGGAGTCTTCAACAGTGGCAGAAACTTACATAGAAAAATCAGTTTCCAAAAGAATGAAAATAACAAATCAACTTTTTCATGATAGCTCCAAAAATAATGTGTCTTTAGTGGATACAAATATTTGCCATTCTTCAGTAGCATCATCTTCTTCTATAAAATCTGTAAATCCCTGGGAAGGATTACAGATTTCTAAGAGAACAAACAAGTGCACTTTTAATTTCCATGTTCATTATCATGAAAAATGAATTTTAGTATAAGACATTATGTATTTTTATCCTTACTTGTGTTATTGTTCAATAAAATTTGTTATTAAATAGTAGTGTTTATTGCTCTAAAAAATCTGCAGTATGACGAAAAATCTAGAACGCAACACGGCCGATAACAAATAACGGCCTTGGCTGCTTATGATCCTCGGCTATCGCCTCGGATCACAAACTTCAGCCCGGCCGTTATTTGTTGTTTATCGGCCTTATTACGTTAATAACTATTAAATTGCTGACCTGGGTATTATTTGTTTGATGATCTTTCAATTGGCTCGACTCAATGATAATTAGCGCTGATCCATATTGTTGCAATGAATATAATCAGATTAAATAATTTCAAAAACCAGAGTGGGACTTGAAATTATTTTAAATAATAATTAAATAGTTTTGTTATTGTTAAGGTACCTAAAACAAAAAAAGTATCAAGTGTGGCATATACTCAGGAGATCGAGTTCTTTCAATACTTCAAATAAAAAATGCAGGTCCGTATTTAAAAAAATTAAGTTGGCCTCTTTATCTCACAAATTATCAGCTAATTTAAAAATCTATAAACGCTATCAGATAGCCCTAATAAAGTAGCCATGAGAATGTGTAATTAGTTTTACGATTTTCTAAAAAGTAACGCCAGGAAAAAATAAAATTGATTTTCAAAAAAGTCCGTTTTTTCCAAAAATCTCAGCATTTTTGATGGCATCTTGGTGAACATCCTAAAGCACAACTTTGCCCCAATTTAACCATCTTCGTATCTCTTACGGTTTCCGAGATACCAATCGTACCTCGAATTTGTAGCACCCTGTATACTACAGAAGGAAATATTAATTTTAAGATGTGTGGACCACCTCGAATATTGAGGTGATCCAATATTCTTAAAAGTTTTATTTGTTCTAACTATACCAGCAACATTCTTCCTCACCCCACTCGCCCTGTGCAATAGAATAACTTTTACTGGCAACCTTTAGTAAATGTTATTTTCACTAGTGAATGTTAGAAATTACTAGGAAAAGTCGACAAATATTTTTAAAATACCACGTTCCAGTCCAATGCGTAATTGCTAGCATTTCCTAGTGAATGTTAACAATCACTGAATTTCCGACTTTCACTGTAACAGCTATATTATTTGACTTTTTGGTACTTCTTTCTAAATTAAAAATGATTGTTCCCATCTGTCAATTTTATTATACGAGAGCATACAAGATTTTAATATTTTGGTAAACGTTTGTAACACCCTGTGAAATATGTTAGTTAAGACGGCAAGTAATTTATAAATATTTTTATCAGCTAGGTACATCCTTTCTCGATAGTTTGATTTTTGGTTCATCTCAATAGCTTTATTTTTGTTGGGGATCCCTTTTGAAGAAGACACTAACATTTTTTCGTAATTTTTACATTAAAACTATGCCTTTGCTTTTGGTTCTAGTCAACAGACCTATTAAGTAGTGGTCCAGAAGCAGGACTTTTTGACAAAATTTGCTTCGTTTAATCTTCTTACAGTCCGTTCACTTACATGTACGTTTCTTAGGTGCAATTCATTTTAAATTTGAAAAGCTAATTCCTGGACGTCTAGCATATGCACTTGTTTGAAGAAACGACTGCACTATACTTCATGCAAATCGTGCTAAATCTGTTGCGACATAATTTGGATCTCTATGATATTCAATTAAAGGAACTATAGCGGATACATCTTCTGGACTTTAAACCATTTCTACTAGAGTAACTACCTAACAGCCATCAGACAATAATAACATAGTTTAAGGAAACTAGTAGTTTTACTCCTTGTCAAATCCTTTGCTCTTTTTCTGCCACTTTATATGACCTTGTTCTCGCCTCCGTAGCCGACGACGTAGCTGTATAGTCGTGGTCTATTAACTAGGCAAAGTATAGACGTGGCACTCGCCATAGTTTCACAGATATGTATTTAGTATTTAGGAAAATATGAGTTCACAATAAAATAAAATAAAAAAAAAATGATCATCGAGTAAAAACTTGCTTGAAAACAGAATATTTTTACATTTCGTGTAGGTAACAATTCTTCTGTATCTGAAAATCTTCTGATGGGAAGAAATGCGGGAAAAATATAGAATGACATATTTTTATATTATTATCTATTTCAGAGATTTTCTACGACTTTTTGTTTATTTAAAGCAAGTTTAATTTTGTGTAGATAACTGGATTCGGCATAAAATTATGCTATAGTACACTGTCTTTATTTAAAGCACACTGCGGTTACCAATCTATTTCTTATTTACTAAAACTTTGGTTAAAAACATTATATACGAAAAGTGGTAAAAAACTAGAGTGAATATAACTTTATTAATACTTTGCTATGTTTTCTTAAACATGAAGGATATCGGAATAAATTCGTGTAGAAAAATTTACTTTATCGTATACAGGATATGTTTTATGGCGTCACCAAAATCGTAATATTTAAAAAATGTTGTATCTCATTTTTTTAAAATACAACACCTTGTATATTATTTTTCTTTCAGATGTAGCATTAAAAGGTGAACATTTTTTGACAAGGCAAGAGCCATATTTAATATAATACTGCGAATATCTGCGACAGCGGTAAAAATTTAGAAACACTTTAAATTAATAAAAAAATGTTCACTTTTTAATTCTGCATCTGACAGAAAAATAATATACAGAATGTCGCATTTAAAAAAGTTGATATATACCATTTTAAATATTGCGATTTTGGTGACGCCATAAAAAATACCCAATATATGTATATAGAATGATGTAAAATAATAAAAAAAATCAAACTAACTTTACCATAACTTTTTTTGTGACACCCTGTATATAACAAAATATTTTAGGATACACCCCTTTATAAACCTTGAAACATATGAATAAAACTTTTTTCACATCTTCGACAACGACGACGATATTGAACTTCCTCGCACTAATGGGCCACCCTGTATATTTACAATTATATATATATATTTGCTCTAAAATTGTTTCAAAAACCAATTTATATAAATTATCTCGTAAATTATTATTGGAATGAAAATTTTATGGAAAATCCCCTGACCAAAAAATATTTTCATGCGCATATTTGAGACAACCTGTATATCTAAAAAACTATTTTTAAAATCTGCACACATGCAAAAAAAATAATAACATTTAATTAATTACATAATATCTCAGCTTCTAAAATAAACAAATATAATTAAATGTTAATTGATAATTACTATCAGCTTGCCGATTTACATCCGATGGAAATCTAAAAAGGCACTCATTTTTTGTCAATCCGTCCCTGTGCTCGGACGCAACGCTCAAACCTCACAGCTCGACGGACCGAATTCAAAGCCGAATTCAACTGAAACGCTTTGCAACCTGCCAGCTTGCAAAAACTGGCAGAAAATATTTGCGAGAGTGCAACTACTCTTTTCCTTAAACTATGATAATAATATGATTTTTCAATAACAGTGACGGTACATAAATTATAAACATTATTTCATAGGTCTGTTGACTGGGACCCAAAGCATACTCGTAGGCATGATTTTAATGTAAAAATTACGAAAAAATGTTAACATATTCCACATTGTCTTTCAAACTTTCACCAAAATATCAGCATTTTGTTTGCCCTCGTATAATTGACAGGCGGGAACTTTTTTCTTTAGAAAGACATAATAAAAAGTCAAATAATTTGCCTACAAATTGCTTAAAAAATCATCAAAATCAACCCACTAGAACAAAATGTATTAAATTTTAAAATGCATTTTAAGGGGCCCGCCCGATTTTTGTGAGTGTATATATGCCGGGTATTTTTCAAAAGTGGTACACCCCCTATGACTTTTTTAGTTTTTCAGATAAAAATGCGAAATAAAAAATAAAGAAATTTCAAGCCAGACCGTATTTACTTTAGGCTGTGTTAAAAAACTTAATTTTTAGTAAAGGATTTTTAGAAAAATAGATTTGATCATCTAATGTGTCTAGTGTCTTTTCCTGGCCAGTTAAAAGATGTCCTCAAAGATGCCCAAAATTGTCTTTTAATCATAACTCAGTTTTGTTAAATGGAATGAGTATGGCTGATTGGCATATTTGGAAAAGTCATGTCTCCCTCTATTAAATCGCTCTCTATACCATTTGTATATTCATATCAATGACAAAGAAAGTCCAGATTTAAATTGTCCTGATGATGCAAATAAATTTTGCGAAACGTCGCCAAATTGAATACAAAGGACTTGTGTTGAGTTTTCTTTTCGATCCTAACCCAATTTAAAAAAAAGCATGTATTATTTGAGATCGACAACACTAGTAATCGAATACATCAATCAATCCTTATTTATATCGAATACTAACATATCAAATCTCGTATTTAATCTGATGAAATAAAAAAGTTATATGGGTGAGTCACTTTTGAAAAACACCCGGTATACAAGTATATAACTAGAAATTAAAATATAAAATATTTTCTAGGTGTCCGTTCAGATAAGTTACACTAAGGTTTTCGGTTTTCCTGGACATTTTGGTATACCAGTAAGAGGGACAGGACTAGGACCAGTACTACCTAAAACAGGAGCATTACTAGGTTACACAGATGGAACTCAGAATAAAACCAGTTCCATGCGGCAGAATAGAGCCTCAATTAAAGGGAGCAGAGTACCAGAAGCATTACTAGGTTACACAGATGCAACTCAGAATAAAACCAGTTCCAGGCGGCAGAAAAGAGCACCAGTTAAAGGGAACAGAATACCAGGAGCATTACTAGGTAACCCAGATGCAACTCATAATAAACCCAGTTCCAGGCGGCAGAAAAGAGCACCAGTTAAAGGGAACAGAATACCAGGAGCATTACTAGGTAACCCAGATGCAACTCATAATAAACCCAGTTCCAGGCGGCAGAAAAGAGCCCCAGTTAAAGGGAACAGAATACCAGGAGCATTACTAGGCAACCCAGATGCAACTCATAATAAACCCAGTTCCAGGCGGCAGAAAAGAGCACCAGTTAAAGGGAACAGAATACCAGGAGCATTACTAGGTAACCCAGATGCAACTCATAATAAACCCAGTTCCAGGCGGCAGAAAAGAGCACCAGTTAAAGGGAACAGAATACCAGGAGCATTACTAGGTAACCCAGATGCAACTCATAATAAACCCAGTTCCAGGCGGCAGAAAAGAGCCCCAGTTAAAGGGAACAGAATACCAGGAGCATTACTAGGTTACCCAGATGCAACTCATAATAAACCCAGTTCCAGGCGGCAGAAAAGAGCACCAGTTAAAGGGAACAGAATACCAGGAGCATTACTAGGTAACCCAGATGCAACTCATAATAAACCCAGTTCCAGGCGGCAGAAAAGAGCACCAGTTAAAGGGAACAGAATACCAGGAGCATTACTAGGTAACCCAGATGCAACTCATAATAAACCCAGTTCCAAGCGGCAGAAAAGAGCTTCAATTAAAGGGAACAGAATACCAGGAGCATTACTAGGTTACACAGATGCAACTCAGAATAAAACCAGTTCCAGGCGGCAGAAAAGAGCCTCAAATCGAAATAACAAGTCCCCTGCACCAGGAAATGGAAAAATACTCGAATTCGCAACCAATGGAAATGAAGTGGCCCCTGAACCAGATAAAAATTGAAATGAGAATATTGATCTTTCATTTCTTGATGCGGTTATGGTATTCTGGCAATATTTAACTTTCCACACCTGAGGAAATGCCCCTTAAAGCTTTATAAAGTGTAATATTTTTATTGAACTTTATGGATAATTATTTAACTCATTTTATACACAATTTTTAGCAATTTAACAACCCTAACTGTTAAAAACTATATTTTGGCCGGCATTAATGCCAACAAAAATGTATTAGTCAAGTCAAATGTCAATAATTTTGTTTCTTAATATGTATACACAAATCCGACACAAATCAAGCTTATTTTTACATCAAAGATATAGTTTTTAGAAAATATACTGGCATATTTTCTTCTCTATGTTCATATTAATTTATTTAAGTGCTGAAAGTTAGTTGTCTATTAAATTAGATAAAAAGAATTGTTAATACAAATTCAAACTTTTTAATTATAATTTTATTTATATTTTTTTGGTGGCTAATTAAAAATAAATACGATTTTTATTGATGTATCTATATGATGATAATCTTAGAAGAAAAGAGATTTTAGTTAAAACGATTCCGTATAATTTATCCTATGAAAAACATACGGAATGTAAAAAATGCCAAGTCTGTGAGATCTCATGTAAAACCAAGTCAGTTTATTTTATTTGGTTTCTCTTTAAGCACCTATTCAACAATTTTGTTATAAATTGTTAGTATCAATATTATAGTCATCTTTATTTCTGTAATAATTATAATGACTTGGCAATTGCACGATATGATATTCTCTACTAATTAAAGAACTTTATTTTTAAGAGCCTGTTAAGATTTACTTAATTAATAATCGAAATGGTAGATTATTACAGTTTAAGCTTTGGTGTTACAACAGCAAAATAAAACACTAAATCACCACAATACACCAAAACCCTTTACTTTTGCTTGGTTAGCGAAACGCGCGTCCAGTGCAAAAGTAAAGTGTTTTGGTGTTTTGTGGTATTTTTGTGTTTTATTTTGCTGGTAGATTATTTTATAATTATGGTGCTGTTTTATTTTTATCTCGAAAACTATTAGAGATAGGTTAGTATAATAGAAAAATTATGAGATATGAGAGTAGTTTCCAAAAATGTAATAATATACTGGGTGTTCCATTTAAAATAACAAAAATGCTACCACTTTTTAAATAACCCGGCAACAGCTAGACAGCTATCTTTTGATCCATAAAGATATTTAAGGATTTTTCTATTTCCCTTCCATTATAAGCTTAATGCTAACTAAAATTCACAATTTGACCTAAACGCTGGCGAAGTTTAAATAATTTGATTAGAAAAAATCGGAAAAAAATCATAATCGTTGAATTATATTGTTTGGTACATGCATATACAAATTAAATCCGAAGAGACCACTTCGATTAATTCTAGTTCTCTACCCTTTTCACGACTAGAAAGTCAGTAACCGGTGGCGGCTAACTTTTAATCCATAAGGATATAGGTATGGAGATTTTCCTTTGTTTATAAGCCTAAAGCTACCTAAAATTCAAAATTTGAAGTTTGTAACTCTTCTAGAAGTACCTCAGAATTTTGATAATCTGTCAGTGAGTCAATGTCGAAACAAGCGATAATTCATAAACTATGAGGTATAATTACTAGATATTTTGGTAATCTAGCCAGCTATAGTATGTCCTCATGTATAGTGAAAATTAATATTCTTGCTTTATCCACAACGAAGTTACAGGGTGGTCAAAAATGCCGCTAATACCTTCGAGAAAAGGATTGTACGACTGTGCTCGACTTGGGGGGACATTGCCGTGCCCCCATATATTGATTTAAAGTACCTAGTAACAGTGGCGGACTAAGCCTGTCGGGGGCCCGGGGCGGCAAAGCTAAATGTGGCCCCCGGTCTGCACATTTTGTAAAGATTGAATGACGTATGAATAATGGTTGACTAATTTCAAGTATTTATATACTGTACTAATTGTAATAAAAATCGATATATATACCGGGTGTCACAGAAATAAGTGCAAGTATTTAAGGGGTGGTAGATAAAAGAACCATATTTTTTCTTTATCGTTTTTCAAATAAGTCCAAAATAACGGAGTTATTTTACTTTGAAAATATACAAAAAAAAATTTTGCTCTTGTAAATTTGTTCTTGTAAATTTAATCTAATACCTATGTTGTCATATTAACAAGAAATTATGTTTTTTAACTAAAAACTAAAAAAATTCCCGAAGTTTTCAATTGTTTTTTCGCGAAAAAAACCTCATAGGCGTGTTTGTGGGGTTAGACTATACTACCATAGAATACTTGTACTTATTTCTGGGACACCCTGTATATTACAGTCAGTATGTCCCCGGATTGTCTTTACAAGAGGAAAAACTTTTTAATTATTGACTTTTTGAAAAAAATGCGTTCATAAGAATTTTTGCTTGTTGTAAAATGGCGTTTATAATTTTCTAAATATCCATACCGTTTTAGAAAAAATAAAAAAAACATAAAAATGTAGTTTTTCCCCAAAAAAATAATAAAAAAACTAAAAGTTCTAAAAATTAAAACGCTATGGTAATATAATTTCGATTTCATTTTTTGATGGATTGTTATAATTCATTTTGATTAACGTATATATTTTTTGATGTTAAAGTATCACATTTTCCGATAACTATTATCACCCTTTCCGTAGCATTGAACTAAATAAATTTTGTGCTTCTTTAACATTTTAAAACAGCAAAAAATATAACTTTAATTAAAATTCTGTCAATAATAATCTATCAAAAAATTATCACGAAATTATATTACCATAGATAGGCGTTTTATTTTTACTAGTTCAAAAATTCAACTACATTTTCATGTTTTTTTTTATTTTTCTCTAAAACGGTATGGAAATTTGGAAAAATATAAACAGGAATTACCATTTTAGAACAAGCAAAAATTTTTATGAAGACAATCCGCGGACATACTGTAGATGTAAATATGTTATTCATCGGCAGTGCCGTTTTTACGTAGGGACGCGACGCGCGATGGGCCCCGACCAATGAATTAAGGGCCCCCCCAAGGGCCCCAGCTTCCTTTGCCCTTGCTTAAAATGTATCAAAAACGATAACATCATTTTTTAAAGCTTATAATAATACATTTAAATTGAAAAACGAATGCAATTTGACGTAATAAAACAATCCCCGAGCCAATGTTTACATATATTTAATGGCAATTTATGATGACAAAGTGATGGGAATACCGGTTCCACATATAAGCCGCGTTACTTTCGCGACCGTTCCAGGTAAATACCGCGATTTTGTAAGGGGCCCCTTACAAAATCGCGGTATACTCCTATATAGGTCCAAGAATAAATAATAATTATTTGAATATAAAAAATAATAATTATTCGATATTCTAAACAAAGAAAATTACCCCTTGATTGAATTTCGTAAATAGAAAAACGACATTGACAATTACTGGGGCCTAATAATTGATAATTAAGTAAATATCTGCTTCCATTTATACTGTGTTTAGTTTGCGTATACTTATGGTTTGAATACTCTAACTACAAATTGCTTTATAACTACTGAACACATTTTGGCCTGTTTGCCAGTTGAATAAAAAATTACTTATTAAGATTTGGAGGCCCCCTAGAAGAAGGGGCCCGGGGCGGACCGCCCCCCTTAGTCCGCCTAGTAATTGTACGAGAGCTAGCAACGTCGGAAAAACAAGTATTTTAAGACGTCTGGCTCTTTAATATATCTTTTACTATGCTCTCTAGAACAACATGCGGCCTGTCTGGCTGCCGGTAAACGTTGCGTTCCCTACTGCGCATTGAAAGAAGATTCTATATTTTTATTAGTCCTTTAAATTCTAGTATTGAATATAAATCGAACATGTCTCCATAGCGCAGTGCGTAGAGTTTCCGACCACGAACCGATGATTCAGAGTTCGAATCCGGATCAGGACAAAAACTTTTTTATTTAATACTTTACTATCAGAATATAAACGAAAATAAAATTTAAAAGTCTTTGTCCTGACCCGGATTGGAACTCTGAATCATTGGTTCGTGGTCGGAAACTCTACGCACAGCTCTATGGAGACATGTTCGATTTATATTCAATACTAGAATTTATAGGACTAACCGATGCGCAGCGCAGTAGTCAATGCAACGGGTATCGGCAGCCAGACGGGCCGCATGCTGTTCCAGAGAGCATAGTAAAAGATATATCAAAGAGCCAGACGTCTTAAAATACTTTCTCGAAAACCTTGCTAGCTCTTAGACTATAAAGGCAAAAAAAAATAAATACAGTTTAACACAAAGGTTTTATTTTTTAACTTGAAAATATTTTTATTATTTCACAATAAAACAGAGATGGTCTATTTAATTTCGGTTCAAAGTACATTTCGTAAAAAAAGACAAAACTTTTGGAAAGAGATTTGATATGTTCAAAATTTATCCAAAATAGATTTATGCTTAAAAAAATTGTGTGTGCACTATGTGCGCATATATGAAGTAGCAGAAGAAACAGCTACTCCTATTAAATTGAAGGATTTGAAGGACATGTTTGAAAAAGTGTAGTTTGAAATGTTGCAAAAGTAATAAATTATTTTTTTTTACGCTTAAAAAATATTTTTAAGCGTATATTAGCGTAAACTAAAAAATTAATAAAAATAAAAGAAAGTAAAGATTTCAGTTAACGTCTCCCTTTTTCTATATATATATTAATCGGTTTAAAACGTTCTACGTCTTCCGATGCCATCTTTCCATGCCTGTCTGTCTCTCCATGCACCGTCTCCGAGAGATCTTTCCTTCGTAAACGTGTCAATCCCTTCTTGCCAACTTCTTCTCGGTCTACCCGGTTTTCTTCTTCCTGCAGGTTTCCAGTTTATAATTTGCTTTGGGATTCTTATTTCTGCCATTCTTTGGACATGCCCGTACCGTATGAGTTGACTGTTCTTTATGTCGTCCACTATCGTATGTTTAACTTCCATAATCTCTCTTATGCGTTCATTAGTTATTCGCTCGAGTCTTGATTTGCCTGCTGATCTTCTCCAAATATTCATCTCTGTAACTTCCAGCATTCGTTTTGTTGTTTCCTTAATTGGCCACACTTCACAGCTGTACGTGGTTATACTCTTTATGATGGTATTGTATATTAGAGTTTTGTTCTTGTTGTTTATGTTTCTGTCCCACAGTATGCCATTCAATACCGTGATAGCATTCCTTCCAAGTTGGTTTCGTTCTTTAATTGCTGTATCCAACAGTCCATCATTTGTGATTTGCATACCCAAATATTTGTATTTTGTGCAGCACTTAATTTTCTTCCCTTCTTCTAGTATTAGATCTTGTTGTTCTCCTCCGATACACATATATTCTGTTTTGTTAGTATTGATCTCGAGTCCCCATTTCTGATATTCTTCTATAAGCTTACGTGTCATATAATTTATGTCATCGTAATCTTGTGCTATGATCACCTGATCGTCGTATATTTCGACATTTTTGCTTCCAACCTTTGAGAACTTGTTCCAGATATATCTTGAACAGTGTTGGTGAAATAC